GCAGCTGTGGGTCCAGCAGAGGCATCGCAGGCGTCGCCTGCCCCCCCCCCCCCCCGCCCCCGTGCTGGGCTCTCCCAGGCACCCTGTCCCCCGTTCTGTCAGGTTGTGGCGTTTGCTTCTCTGTGTGACCCGCCCTCTTTGTCTCTGGTTTCTCTGGTTGAGAGTCGGCACCCACATGGGGAGATGGTCCATCAGGCCACCACCCTCCCTGGACCCCCTCTGCCCGCCTCGCCCGCCGGGTCTCGCCTGGGCCTCTCTGCTGTGCCAAGCCCCATGGCCACGCTCTTACTTCCCATGTTCACGGTTCCGGTGAGGCCACGTCTTCTGCGTGTTGAGGCTCTGAAAGCTGCTGCTGTGAGCTGCCTGCTGTCGACTTGGCCTTTCTTCCTTCATCTCGCTGTTCCCGCAGCGGCTGGTGGTTCATGGTAGTTAGTGCATATTGTATGAACACGCGTCTTAAACTTACAAACACGCGTGTTAAATGGATCCCTTTGCTTCCACAGTGCACGCGGGGTACCTGCTGGCGTTGGGTGCCGGGCTCCGATCATAGTAGCGGCTTCTGGTAGGCAGTGCGTGGGGACGGGGACACGTACCTGCCGGAGCATCCCGGTGGCCTCCACAGTGGCCTTCCCACGGGAGCCCTGTGGCTCGGGGGGTGGTGGATCAGGGGGCCCGCCTTCCCCCAGGCGCTGCTCTGTGTCCACGTCCAGCTCGGCCGCGCCTGCGGGATGGAGGCTCTGCTGTTACCAAGTGTCAGCGTTTCCAAGGCGCCTGCAGCCGGCGGCCCTGCTGGGAGGGGCCCGAGGACAGGAAGCTGGGCTCGGACAGGAGTCGGTGTGGCCGGATTTGTGTTATTAACAGCGTCGTGTGCAATTAAAGCTGCACAGGCCTGCGGCGTACAATTCAGTCCGCCAGTCGTGCCACTGCACTCGCGTGAGTCTCAGCTCGCTCGGGGCGGGGCGTGATGGCAGGGGTGCGGGTCCCTTTGGCGGCTCACGTGCGCGTGGGGTCGAGCTCCCACACTGAATGTGCCAGACCCTCGGAGCGACGCTCCACGCGGTGAGGCTGCAGCTGGAGCCGCAGTGCACGGAAGAGGTGGCAAAGTCACGGAGCCCGACCCCGCCTGGGGCTGGACGTAGGGATGAGCCCAGCCTTGAGTGAGCCCCTCGGGGCACACCTCTGCCTTGTGGGCTTCGAGTCCCCAGACATCTGCCCAGCGAGCCCGGCCTCAGTGGGTCCCCCTCAGCTGCTCTGTCGCCTGGGCCTTGGGGGCGGCACTGGCTGCATGTGCCTGTCTAGCACAGTGACGGGCTGGTGAGGAGCTGGCGATGGGCTCTGCTGCCTCTCTGTCCTGTCAGCTCTGGGACAGGAAGTGACCCCACCCCGTGTGGTCCAGCCCGACTAGGGGCAGCCTCAGGGAGCAGTGCCGTGTGGTGAGGTGGGGTGGGGGCTTTATGGGGGTGCGACTTGGGTCCCTCAGGTAGTCAGCTCATCCCCAGCTGCCAGGCTGGTTCCTCGGGGCTGCTCCCCAGGTCCCCACCTTGAGCAGTGGTCACTGACGGGTCAGTGTCAGCAGCATGTGCAGGGGGGCTGGGTGGCCAGGAGCCAGACAGAACCGAGGACACCGCAGAGCCTTCGCCTCCCACAGCCACAGCCCTCGCCAGAGAAAGCGGGACCAGCTTGTCGTTTCCTGTGGGCCGAGCGGAGCCCACTTCTCACCGGGCTTGGCCTGGGGTGCAGGAGGGTGTGCGGGGCGGGGGGAGGGCCCCCAGCGGTGAGGACTCGGCTCTTCACCCTGCAGCTTCACCATGCCCCGCAGGGCCTTGGCCTCTGTTCTGGGCCGTGCAGGGCCTCTCGTGGGGGGGCAGGGCAGCAGCTTACGGGCTGGGGGGGGCTTGCTCAGAAGGGGGGGTGCGCAGATCGTCCCTGCCTCGAAGCACCAGGCGCTGCTCGCGCCCTGGCCAGGATGGCGCGGGAGGTGAGGGTGCCAAGCCGTGAGGGTGTTTCTGTGCAGCCCGCGCCAGGCGGGAGCCTGTGTCCTGTGGGGCTGTGGGAGCCCTGCCCAGACACCCTGAGCTCAGGGACTGAGGGAGGCTCGCCCACCACGATGCCCACACCCGCCAGGCCGAGGTCTAAGGCAGTGCAGCGTGGAGAGCAGTGTTTGGTGGCTCGTGGATTCACAGGGAGTTTGCCTCCAGGGACGCGTCAGGTCTCGGTGGAGCGCGCAGCAAGGGAGCGCCCGGTGCGGGGCAGGGCCGCCGGGTGCTGGCGCTGGGCTGGCGCTCGGCTCAGGGCCCGGCGGTAACTGTGGTCGCCTGTGTCCCAGGCCGGCGCCAGATCCACCACCTGGGGAGCCAGCTGCAGCTGAACCAGCACTGCCTGGACACGGCCTTCAACTTCTTCAAGATGGCCGTGAGCAAGCACCTGACCCGCGGCCGCAAGATGACCCACGTGATCGCCGCCTGCCTCTACCTCGTGTGCCGCACGGAGGGCACGCCGCGTATCCTTTGCTGCCGGAGCCTCGGAGGGCCGGCCTGGTTCTGGGATGTCGGGGTGCAGGAGCCGCCGTGACTTGTGTTCAGGGGAAGCACCTGGTACGACTCACCGTCCGGATGATGCCGGCTCGGGGCCGCCCGCACGCAGCGCACGCTGTGCCTTTGCCCTGGGCTGGCTCTCCGCCGGCATGCCTAGAGCTGCAGCCGAGCTGTCAACTGTCCTGTGGGTCCGAGTGCAGCCATGACGCGGTGTATGGAAGGCTTGTGCAGCCAGGACGCGGCGTAGGGAGGCTTCTGTCCCCGGCAGCCCTGGGCGGGAGGGACAGGTCTACACAGCACCTCGTGGCCCACTGGCCGCGTCCCGCCTGCTGCCGCCCTCGGACCTGTCTCCTGGCCTCAGACCAGGGTTGGTGGAGGCGACTGTGAGTCGCAGGCCTGAGCTGCTGTCCCCCGGCCACCGCAGGCCCCTCTGCTCAGGTCGGTGAGGTCTGTTCTCTCAGGGCCGTGGCCGGGCCGGGCGTGAGCAGGGCTGCTCCTCGCTGGGGAGACGCAGTGAGCCGCCTGGGCGGTGGCTGTCTCTGGCTCGGGTCTGCGGTGGCCGCCCGGCTGCTGCCCTGTGGCAGGTCCTCCCTGCAGACTCGACCTGCTCTCTCTCCCGGGGCCGCTGTCGGCTGACTGCGGTGCCCTCTTCCCGTCTTGTCCAGGAGCAGGTCTGTTCTTCTTGCAAGGGGTTACCAGGTAGTCTGTTTCCTCGGGAACAGCTTTACGGAGAGGTAGTCACGTACCGCACGATTCACCCACTAGCTGTGGGGCTCAGGGCTGGTGCCCGCGCACTGTCCGTGTGAGGGCTTCCATCGCCACTTGCTCTCTGTCCTCCTCGGGCCTCCTGGCACCTATGGAGCTGGCACGTGGACGTGTCCCCGAGCTCCATGGCTGCCTCGCTGGGGCCCGCCAGGCCGCTCAGCCAGCAGCCACGTCCCCCGGTTGTGTAGTGTAGGAGGCTCCCCCTCCCCGCTTCCTTAAAAAACCAAACTTTTGTTTTGTCGTTTACCCGTATTGTGCACTTACTTTACTTCAGTGACTTCTTTTTATTTCTTTCCTTTTGTTTTCTTTGGGTTTGATTTACTATTTTTCCAGCTCCTCGAGACACACGATTTTAGTTGGTTTTTTATAACATAAGCGTTTGAGACCATAAGTTCTCTGCAGGTGGGTTTTGGTTCAGCATCGTGCAGTATTGTTTTTGTTTTGTTTGTTTTTTAAATATATTTTTATTGATTTCAGAGAGGAAGGGAGAGAGAGAGAGAGAAACATCAATGATGAGAGAGAATCACTGATTGGCCGCCTCCTGCAGGCCCCCTACTGGGGATTGAGCCCGCAACCTAGGCATGTGCCCTTGACTGAGAATCGAACCCGGGACCCTTCATTCCACAGGCGGATGCTCTATCCACTGAGCCAAACCAGCAAGGGCGCAATATGCACTTTTGATGTGTCATTCAGTTCAGAATGTATTCTAATTTCCATGGTTACTTCTTAGATCCTGGACTCACTTAGAAGTTACTGGTCGCTTTGAAGACAGTTTCCTTGTCTGACCAGCTGTCGTGTGACCCGTGAGGCTCACGGACGGCCCTGCGGGAGCCTGTTCCCCTGGCACTGAGGCTGCGCCCAGCTCGCAGGTCGGCCCTGTGCCCGGGCCTGGAAGAGCACACCTGCCGCTGGGCGGCTCCGGGCCGCGGGGCGGCTGTCAGTGACGGCCAGGCTGCCCTCATGGGATTGTCTGGTGGTGTGAAGGCCGAGACCCCCCGCACGCCGCCGGCCTGCTCCTCCTGGGTCTCCCGATGTCCACTGTCCTCAGGACACAGCTCGGACTGCGGGCCGTCCTGGTGGAAATGACTTCCCACGTCGTGAAACCCTGTCACCCCTCCCTCCACCCGGCCGTGCTGGGGGCTAGTGAACCGGCGCTTTCTGCTCGGGGCCTCCCGTCCTCTCGGTCTCCTTGACACACACGTGTCTCGTGAGCAGTGGTGATGGCGGGTTTTCAATCCGGTTCAGGTTTATCCATTCGCTCTCTCCTCTCCCCCGACTCCTCTTAGAGAAATCGAGTTCCACTGTTGCTTCCCTTGCAGTGGTTCTCAGCCTTCCTAATGCCGCGACCCTTTAATACAGTTCCTCATGTTGTGGTGACCCCCAACCATAAAGTTATTTTCGTTGCTACTTCATCACTGTAATGTTGCTACTGTTATGAATCGTCATGTAAGTATCTGATATGCGGGATGTATTTTCAGGGGTCGAGACCCACAGGTTGAGAACCTCTGCCTTAAGGGCTTTGTTAGTCACACAGGTTTGCTTAGTAGCTCGATGCTTGCCCTGGGGTTTAAGGCCTGTGCCTGGGTGTGTGCGCGTCGCCTGCAGTTAGAGCGCGGGCGTCTCCCTCCCGCACGGGCCTCGCTGCCACTGAGGGGTCCTCGTTCCTCGGCATCCCCTGCTCTCCTGTGGCTGCTGTGGGGACGTGACCCAGAGCCGCTCGGGGCAGGTTGGGGCAGGGCTGCAGGTCCTCCTGTGCGGCCACAGGTCCGACACGTCAGGTGCTGGGGCCGCAGCTCCGGTGAGAGCGCCAGCCCAGGCTCTGCCCACAGGTGCCCTTCAGGTTCCCCCAGGTGTGGGCTCTGCGGGCTGGGGCAGTGTGTGCAGAGGGGGAGGGGCTTGCTCAGGGGGCCTTTGTCCTGGGCGGGCGCGGGGCCTGTGCTGAGTGGTGCCCCTGCTGGAAGGCTCACCCGGAGCCAGAGGCCCTGCAGCGGCCCATTAGGGATGGGGAGGAGGCACCGGCTGCTTTCTCGCTGCCATCTCCCTGCCCTGCCCGCCCACCGCTCGGCTGGAGGGCAGGCCCCTCAGCGGTCAGACCTGCTGGGTGACGCTTGTCTCTGGGCGCCTGACGAAGCGCACTTTGTGCGCTGGTGGAGGAATCTGTTCTTTTAGTTCTGACGGTTGACGTCCCTGTGAACTTTTCCACCAGTGAAGTGAGTCTGAGCCTCAGTGATGTCCGTCTGTGATGGCCTCGTGGTGAACGGAGCCGGGCACCAGGCCGCCGGTGGGCGCGGCGCACTTTCCCAGAACCGCCTGGGTCTGTGTGGGCTCTCAGGACCGGCCTGAGCCTGACGGTGTTACTCACCATCATTCTGCACGCTGCTGCGTCTCTTCTCAGAGGGCGCGCTCAGCGCCACCCACCGGAACACGCAGGGACCCGGAGGGAGGCAGAGAAGGCTGGTCCCCCTGACCTGCCTGTCCCAGCGAGTCTGGCCTGGTGTCCCTGAGGGGAGGTTGGCAGAGGCTGCCGAGAGGACAGTGGCCCATGGCCCAGGCCGACAGAAGACCCCAAATGCACATTAGTGGGGAACACATGTGGGTTGGGCCCCAAGAGCATGCATGGCTGTTGCCTGGGGTGAGACTATGGGGATGTGGGTGCAGGTCGGAAGCTTGTGGCTCAGACGGTCCTGCTCAGAGGAGGAGCTCCCTCCCAGCCGGTGGCCAGGCGCCTGCCGTCCCTGACCTTGACCCTTGACCCTTGAGCGTGGTCATGCTGACTTCCAGCCTCCTTCCTAAAATGCCTGCTCTCCAGCACCGCGCAGGTTGGCCCGGTCGCCCTGCAGCCCCGCCGCCTCGCGCTCCCAGGCCTGCAGGGGCGTCAGGAGCCCCGGAGGCTCAGCCCCTGCTGGGCATAAAGGAGATGCCAGGGTCTTGGTTGTGTGGCTGGATGAGTGACCGACGTGCATCGTGCGACCGGGCATCTCGGGAAACGGCAGCATCGTCCCGCGGCCGGTTCCCAGCGCCCCTGCGGTCAGCGCCCTCCCGAGTGTGGGCCCTGCTCCCGCGAGCTCGGGCCGGGGCCTCCCGCACGGGCGCGCTCATCCGGGTCTGTCGCTCCTGGAGCGCCTGCCATCGCCCCGTGGCGCGGGCCGGTGGTCTACACCGCGGGCCCTGTTGCTGGTGCGCAGGGCGAGGCCGAGGCAGCGCCGGTCTGTTTCGTGGCCGCGGGGAGCCGGGCCGCCGGGGCTGGCACCGCTTCGCCGGGAGGGAGGCCGGCGCCTGCTTCTCTCGGGAAGCACCTGCTCAAGCCTCTGCCCACGTGTTTGCCTTTATTTTATGACGAGGGCCCGGCGCACGGGCTCCTGGGCGGGGAGAGGAAGTGAACTAGAGGGCGGCCACGGGGCGGGACACACCCTGGGAAACAACCTCCCGCCTTCCCTCCCTGGCCGCTGGCACCTGGGGTGGCGCCACAGTGGCGTACACGGGGTCCCACGGGCAGGTGGCGTCCCTCGGCCTGGCCTGCGGGGATCTCGGGCGAAACTGGCTCTCCGACATCCCCTGAGGGGTCCTGGATTGCGAGAGGGTGGTTCTCGGGTGATGCACCCCGGAATCGGGCTCCCTCCTCTCTGGTTCCGGGGAACCACCGCTGTCAAGTCACCGCAGCTCCTGTGTTGAGCGTCTGCCCCATGGTGGTCAGTGCCGGCTGGTGCGCTGGTTGCTTAGCCTTTTATATGTATAGTTTTTTTTAATAGGCTTCCTTTTCTAGAGCAGTTTAGGTTTATGGGAGAGTGCTGCGTCGTCCCGTGTCCCCCCCACCCCCAAGCCCCACCCAGCTCCCCATCTGCTCCTGGCACACGTGGGGCATATCACACTGATGGACCTGCATCCACACGTCATACATCATCACGTCACTCTGACCGACGCACATTGTCTGCGTCACCATCGTGTGTGCGTGCCCCGGCCATCCGCCACCCGATCTCCCCCCTCCTTCCCCACCGCAGCCTCCCCCCCCTCCCCACCGCAGCCCCAGGTCCTCCCACCGTCCTATCTGATCGCCCTGCCCGGAGCCCACCTGGCTGGACCGCATTGCAGCCTCTGTGGTCAGTTTGCTCTGCTGTCTCCGCGACACTGGTCGCTGTGCTGTAGTCCTGCGGCCGTGCCGCCTCCCCTGTGTCCTGTCCCCACGGCAGTCACGCCTGTGATCTGCACGTGGCCGTGTGGCTGCTGGGCCGCCCTCCCGGCAGGGCCTCAGGGTTTCCCTCTGCGGGACCCAGCGCCGCAGACCCGGCAGCACTCACCTGACAAGCACTCGCCTCAGCGGCTCGAGCGGGTTCGTGTGTCTCGTCTGCGTCACTAGGGCCTGTTCTGGTTGCGTCTGAATCATCCGCCAAGAGCCAGGACAGGGCCGTGCCCGCCCCCCGCTGCCCCTCGGGCACAGCCTGTCCCAGCCCTGAGTCCTCAGTGATGCTGCCGCGCACTTGTGCCGGGGCCGGGCCCCCCTGGTGCAGGGGACCCCCTGGTGCAGGGACACCTGATGGGTGGGCTCTCCCTGTCCTGCTGGTGGCTCACCGGAGCCTCTGGGAGGCTCTGTCACCTGCTGCCGCCTTTCCCCCCCTCGAGATGGCTCCAGTGTAGATTCCCAGGTGCAATGCTCCTTGACTCTCCTGCAGACATGCTCCTGGACCTCAGCGACCTGCTCCAGGTAAGTCCCTCTGAGTCCCTTGTCCTCGGGGCTGCGGGGGGTCCATAGGTGAGGGACACACGAGGGCGTGCTCTCTGGTGGGGGCACTGGACTGGGGGTCCCTGTTGTCCCGGGCCCGTGGCCCAGCCTCAGCACCGGTGGAGAGACCCAGGTGGGACTTGGTCTTGGGCAAGGGCAGTTCTTTTAAAGAAAAACAACGGACTCACGTAGACATTTTAAACAACCTGCAAACCTGTATCCACAGTCAGTTCAGAGGAACTCGCCTCCTGGGCACCAGAAGCACCTTCCTGTAGGACAGTGGTTCTCAACCTGGGCTGCACATTAGAATCCCCTGGGAATCTTTTTAAAATCCTGATTTCTGGGCCTCGTCCTCCGGAAATTCTGTTTCTTTGTTACTAATGTTGTGGCCCCACCCCATCACAAAGAAACAGAATTTCCGCAGGATGAGGCCCAGAAATCAGGATTTTAAAGATTCCCAGGGGGTTCTAATGTGCAGCCAAGGCTGAGAACCACTGCTGTAGGATCTCGCCTCCAAAGGCTGAATGTGATGGGGAGACCCAGGAAGGGGGACAGAGCAGGTGGGACACTCGGGGGCGGGGCCGGGCCGTTGAGGGTCTGCATGTCCCGTGCCCGGGGTCAGCCCATAGTGACCATCCACTGAGGGGCCCGAAAGAGAAGTCGTGCCATTGAGGACAGACAGGATGTGGGAGCGGGTCCCCCACGAATCCCACCCCGTGGGGAAAGCTCGCCGATCCAGTGTCCCCAGGTTCAGGGCCTGGGCCGACCGGCAGGCAGACTTGCACCTCAGGTGCTGCCGTCCCCCAGCCGCCCGCAGGCCTGGGCCTCAGAGGTCCTGCGGGAAAGGAGCCCCGGGGGGTGAGAATGGGCACCGCACGTGCGGGCGCCCAGGGCAGGGCGGCTTCCTCTGTACCGGCACCTGCCCGCAAGGCCGCAGGAAGTGCCCGGGGCCTGCTGGCGGGTGTATTCTGGTAGTTCCTCACGTCCCAGCTTTGGAAATGGGGAGCCAGTCGGGTGTCCAGACGAAGAGGGCGGTTGGAGTGGGTGGTCCCGCTCACGGGGGCCGAACCAGGGCCCACGGGCGTCCCTGTGCTGACCCGCAGGTTCAGGCTGGACACGCATTTTGCTCAGACCTAAAGCTCCGGGGGGACCGGCTCAGCATGCCAGGGGGAGGTTCTGCACTCGCCGGGAGGAGCCTGCCCTGTGAGGGCCTCACCCTGGGAGCTCGCACGGCCAGGGCTACCCACAGGGAGGGGTGAAGAGACCGAGGGCTAGGCCCCGTTGTGTCCTTATTCACACACCCCGAGGCCCCGCACCCCCTGGCGGAGCTCAGGGGAGACCTCCAGCAGGAGCCACGGGCCCCCTGGACCAGGGCCTGCTGGGCTGGAGGAGGCCGGACTGGGGGCCGCAGAGGGCTCCTCAGAGGCTGGACAGGGAAGTGCACGTTCTGAAGGAATAAAGCGGACATTTCCCAATACACACCCCCCCCCCCGCCCCCCCCGTGGCTCTCCACAGGTGAACGTGTACGTGCTGGGGAAGACGTTCCTCCTGCTGGCGAGAGAGCTCTGCATCAACGCGCCCGCGATAGGTAGGCAGGGCCCGCGCCGAGGAGGGTTGGAGGGGGGTGTGTGCGAGGGCGAGCCCAGGGCGAGGTAAGGAACGTGTCCCCGATGCTGCCAGGAGCTCAGCAGCGACCGTTATTTCTGATTTAAAACCAAAGTGCTGCAGTCAGTCCTCTGCGCGTGCGGACGAGGCGTAGACAGAGGGCAGGGTGGGTGCTGCAGCGAGGGCGTGGGGAAAGCGCCCGGCAGCCAGGTGCCCGGGCAGGTGGGACCTCGGCAGACGCACAGCCGCCTGTGTGGTGGAGCGCCGCCAAGGAGCACGGTTCTGTCTGCTGGGCAGGCCTCCTTCCTGTGCCCGTTGGCGTCCAGGAGAGCAGGCCTGGATCACCCAGAGGACGGTCCCCAGGGCCGGGCAGGCAGCGTCCGGTAGGAGGGCCTGGAGGCTGGAGGGCTGCAGGACAGGGAGGCCCTGTCCCTGCTGGGTGTCGCCGTCCCTCCCCCGGGAATCCAGAAGCAAAGCAACGGCCCAGGGAGAGCTGTCGGAAGGCAGAGCCTGCTCCCTCGCAGCGACCTGTGGGGGCGTTCCCGCCTGCAGGCATGTTCCAGGGGCTGGACCCTGCGAGGGCCCCACCCCACCCCCTCGAATCCGAGTCCGTCCTAGAGTAGGGCTTCGTCTGAGCAACTAGGACACTGAACCAAGTGCAAGACTCTGGCCTTTTCCAGAGCATTCTGGCTGCAGCCCTGGGAAGCAGCTGCCCAGATGGGGGAGGCCCCGCCTGCTGGCAGAGGGCAGATCTGCGCACACGGGGCCCCTGGGCCGCAGCTCGGGGATCTGCCCGCCCTGCACCCCGGTGCCGTTGGTGCTGACCAGTGAGCACTGTTACACACGTAGGTTTCTCCTCCACTGCCGGGCGGCTGAGAACCGAGCACACTGCAGCACCTTTCTGCCTGTGGCTCTCACTTTATTAAAACTCAAGATAAACGATATTAAATGACTTTTCCCAGGTTTTAGATTTGGTGGGAAGGTCTTAAGCTTAGAACAACTCAGAACAAAATCTAGGAGGGTGGGAGGGACAGCCAAGCCCACAAAGCAGGTGGCGTGGGCACCTCTGGTGGGGTCCGGGCTGCCCCCCGCCCCCAAATCCGCCCTCCACCTGAGTGTGCACCCCAATGTGCAGGAGATGTGATGAGGCCCAGCCCCCTGGATTCAGAACCCGGGCTCTGGCCGTGTAGAAACGTCTCATTTATACCTCTGGCTACAGCCAGCTGCGCACAAAAGGTTAGGAGTCCTGAAGCCTGTCCTGCCGGGGAGAAAGCGTGCGGCCCTCGGTCCCCCCAGCGCCCGCCCGCCCACGGCCTCAGGCGTAGAAGATGAGCTCGGGGATCTGCCCGCCCTGCACCCCGGTGCCGTTGGTGCTGTCGGAGGAGCACTGGAACTGGAAGGTCACCTTCCCGCACTGCACCTCCGTCAGGCCCTCCTGCCCGAAGTAGCTGAGCTCGCTGCCGTCCAGCACGGCGCTGGCCGTGTAGAAGGTGTCCTGCTCCACCTGCACCGGGTGCTCGAACCAGACCGGGAAGGTGCTGCTGGAGCCGTCGGACACGAACCTGGTCAGGTTCTGGGCGAGGACCACCCCCAGGCGCTTGAGCTCGATCTTCACACTGTACTCGGCCTTCCCGGAGCTGGACCCGTACAGGCCCAGCCCGGCCACGAACACCCTCCTGTCCGCCGCAAACTGGATACTGTCGCAGCGCCCCCGGTAGCGCCACTGGTTGCTGCGGTAGGCGGAGGACTGGAAGCGGTGGCACCTCTGCGGGGCCAGGCCCCGCCTCTTGGTCAGCGGGAAGTCGAGCGGGGGCTTGTTGGCCGCTGTGTACCACAGGAAGATGTTGTGGGTCTCCTCCAGCGTCAGGATGTCCGACTGGGCGGCGCCGTTGGCGAACTCCTCCAGGGTCATGGTGGGAATGCGGACCAGGTAGAGGGCCGGGCCCAGCACGTGCCTCTTGTTGCGCGGGGTGGCGGGCAGGCCCTGCCGCTTGCACTCGGCCTCGGCCCAGTTGAGCACGGCCTCGAAGACCACCGCCTCCTTGGTGTTGAGGGCCTCGCGGGTGACCACGACCTCCAGGGTCTGCCAGTCGATCTCGCAGAAGCCCTCGGACCGCAGGGCCATCTCCGCCTGCGCGTCGATGACCTCCCAGCAGCGCTGGGTCAGCTCCGGCTCCTCAAACAGCCGGCTCTGCGACAGCAGGACACAGGCGTTCTTGGCCTCCAGGCTCGTCTCCAGGAAGTGCACGCAGGCCTTCGCCAGCGCGGGGACGATGTACTTCTTAGCTGCGTAGAGCGTGGCCAGCACGGTGTCCGCCTCCAGGTCAATCTCATCGCTGTACATGTACCTAGCAGGGCAGGGATGGTCACAGGCCGCCGGGGGCAGCGGGCTCCGGCCCGCGGGACTTCCCCTCCCGGAGGCTGGCGGGGCGCCAGGCAGTGGAACCGCCCCCTTGGCTAGGGGAGCCCCTTACTTGAGCATGATGAGGAAGGCCGCGGGCTCCACGTCGGGGATGTGGACCTCCGGCTTCACTTCCGCCAGGTCCCCGTAAAACATGGCATAGAAGACGGAGCTACCGACGGCCAGGACGTACTGTGCGGGAGAGAAGCCGCCCTGAGCCCGGGCCTCCCACCCTCGCGGGGAGGGCGGTCAGCTCGCCACCAGGAAACGGCCTAGCGCCTTGGGGCGCTCCAGGGCCCAGCCGCCACCAACCTTGTGGGCAGGCACTCTCTGGGCCCCGCCCGGGGGCCCCACCACGAAGTGGACGTCGGCCATGAGCTCGTTGTTGAAGAGGAGCGCGTTCCTGCAACGGGAAAGGCACAGGCTGGGC